TCGAAGTTATTAATATCAGAAAATTTAATTTGAACCTCTTCAAGCCTTTCACTTTGTTTAGACTGCATAAAAAAATTAATTAAGTATTTAACTCTTTTAACTAATATTTTTACTGAAATTAGTTCCTTCGCAATTACAAGCTATAACATATAAGATGTGCATTTTAGCTAATTAGCATTTTCATATTTAATATAGCCTTTTTTACATTACTACTATTATCTGTAGTAATGATAAAGGTCTTATCTTGAATTTGCTATTTGTTCATAATATCTTTTAATATTTTACTTATACGATCTGCTGTATATGGATATCAAACATATTTTATAGCAAGAACAAATTCATATAGCTTATATTCATTATTAATAAAGACACAATTGATACCAAAATACTCATGATGACTACATGCTGTCTACAAATCTAAACTTAATGACACTAAAGTTGTCTCGCTGACTAATATTTCTTGAAGTTATGGTAAGCTAAAATCCTATGCAGTATATATTATATTTTTTACTGTTTCTTTATATAGCATTATAAATGCCAGGTCTAAATCATTAATAAACTTGCGAAATTCTTCATTGGTTAAACATTGATAGATTGTGAATCCTTAATTATTCACAATATAAGAGATTGCCATAATTGAATTTGTCATGGCTCTGAATATTTCTTAACTGATAATGGTTTGTTATTCTAAATAAAGATTTTAATTAATTAAACTATATATTAAGTATTAACTTATATAGCAATAAATTTAATTACAAACTTTAATTTTTCTATTTTTAATAATTTCATATGCATTTCTAAGATGAGTGATCGCATTGCATGTTGATCCACTAGAATAGATATATTTTGTACTACATATAGTATTGTCTTCATCTTTTATTTGACAGATAATAACAGTAATTGTTTCCTTATCTTCACTTTGAATTTCGCCTTCTTCGAAGTACTTTCAGATCCAACTGATTTTAGTGCATTTCTTACCTTGAGTTAGAGTTTTTGTTTTTTTTTTATTTTTTGAAGATTTGGAAGAATTGTTAAAATGTTTTTCTGACATAATTTGTTTTAGAAAAGTAATATTAAAGACTTGAAAAAAAATGAAGCCAAAACTAATAGATGATGTACGTATATATATTTATTTTAAAAATTACGATTTAAATATTTATTTTATATTTATAATTTATATTTAGATTAAATGAATTGCAAAACCCACCTCACTAGAATAGTTATTAAAAAACATTACACTGTAAATATTATATATTTCTCAGGATAGCAAAAATAATAAATATTCCTGTGTGATTATTTACATTCTCATATTTTTGTTCAACTATGTTTTTTAAAATTTTAGAAAAAAATAACAAAGGCGTTGTTAAATAATCAATAAGATGAATAACATGTAAATTTCTCATAGTAGGTTGTTGAATAATTAGTCTGAAGTGATTCTACAATACTACAACTTACATACATAATAATTATATATATTTTATATGCATTACTTTATATATTAACTAATATCCAAGGTTTAAATAAGTAGGTACTGTACATATATATATTAAAATCTGGTTTTACAGCTGTTTTTAAAATAGGAACAATGATTTGTATATATCTATGTGAGAAATCGAAAAATAGATTAGTAAAATGATTAGAGTGGGTTTTGAAAACTTTAGGAATTTGGGTAATGTCGTGAATTACCCATGGTATAGTGATATTTGACCATTTACACCTTTTCAAAAACAGCTATAATAATTTAAGCAAGTGTGTATATTATCACTGTTTTTGAATTAGTGTGATCAATGAATTCTGTGAATTCTGTGAATTTAGCACATTACTATTGTTTAAACAATGATAATATACAGAATTACAAAAATTGATCAAATAGTAATAATACCTGGTAGATATGCATGTACGTATGTTATTAATATCTGGTTTAAATAAGCAGATGCGTATATTAATTAATATCCAGGCTTAATATTTAAATAAGCAGGTACATATATATATTAAATTAATATCAGGTGTTTATTGCTGTTTGTATACAATCACCTAATTATTGTTTGATTGCACAACTGTGCAAAATTGTTTTTTAAAAATATAAGTGCTATTATTTTGAGAACATAAGGCATAGCTTATAAAATTTTATTAAACTTTTATTAAGGAAATCACTTTACAATCGCACAATCAAACAACAATTAAATGATTGTATATATAAGCTGCAAACAGCAATAAATAAGCAGATCATACATTAATGTCTGGTTTAAATATGAAATATATACATTAATATCTAGTTTAAATAACACTGGCAAAAAATAAAAAATTTGACATGTCAAATAGCATTATTCGAATGCCATTCAATTTGCATTCAACTTATCATATAATTTTTGTAGACATGAATGTCCATGAAGTCATGTGATGGAGTTAAATAGTATACTGAATGGATCTTCTTTAGTATAGCTGGGCAATATAGAAATATTATAAGATTATAATATAAAAAAACTCTAACTCTAACCTTAGAGCTAACTATAAACAATACTATGACTCTTACCTAACTCTAACTAATCTCAAATTTGCTTAAATTAGCTCAAATACTATGTTTATATATTATAATTTTATAATAATTCTATATTGCCTAGTTATACTAATGATCAACCTACTAAATGGCATATCGAATGGCATTTGAATAGTGCCATCGAATTTTTATTTTTTACTAGTGTAAACAGGTGCAACACTATTCTATTTGCTTCCCATTATAACAATACTTTGGGCTATACTCTGGGATTATACTCTGAATTATACTTTAGAGTTTCACTATAAATGAATACTCTGGTATGGTATGGTTTTGAAGGTCACTCTGGCAAAATAAGCACCATACAACTTTAAAGCACTCTGCTAATATCATTAACTCAATATATACTGTTATACATGTGCCATTTTTAAGAATCCAATTAACAATATAATTTGATACTATTTTGCATGATATTTATTCAAAAATAAATTTTATTAGAAAATTAATACAGTAATACTATAATAATTGATATTTGTTTTTTTAAGGAACATTATAAATAGGAGCATTTCACCTAAGTAATTAGTAATACAGTAGTAGCTTCGGCAAATGACTAAAGAATCTTTGCCAGACTGATTGGTTAAAAGTTCATAAGTTACTGTAAAAAAATTATGTAACAAAACTTACTCACTATTCTACTAGTAATATGCAGTATATAATTAAGGTTGGGTTGGTTTGTTTTAGAATAAAATGTTGTGATTTCATCATGAGTTATTGTAAAATCCTATTGCAGAACTTATTCGTTATTTTAGTAAAAATGAAAAGGTAAGTTAGTTGTATTGGAATTAACATGAATTCTTTTGCAAATTACTATAAACTTCTGTTATGAACTTACTTGACATATTAAAGTTGTTAAAAATATTGTTATTTCTATTGTGAATCATTGTAAAATAATTTCTACAAACTTACTTGTAGTTAAAGTTGTAGTTTGCATTAAATGTATTATAAATTACTATAGAAAACTTTGTTAAAACAACTTACTCTATTCCAGTAATATGCAGTATGTAATTAAAATTGAAGTTTAATACTGTAAATTTAAAATGTCTATCAGTAAAAAATGCTTAGTAAAGGAGCTATCGAAGAAATGACAAGCCTAAAGATATATAGTCAGAAAAATGGTTGTTTGGTGAAATAGGTTATCATGCGAATGGATTCAAGATATTAAGATTAATGGTTAAATTACTTACTATTACATACGTATTAGAAAATTGGCTTTAAATTAGTACCATAATGAGGGTACGTTTTGATTGATGACACCTCAAATAGTTTATTGGGAAAGCTATGAACTGTTTGCAAAAATGGATTTCAAGAGGTTAAGCTGAAACCTCTAGCATTAATAATTCAATGGATAATTCGGTTATCCATAGTTATCCATCCATTAATCTATTTTAACCGATTATTTATCAGATATCAGATATCTAATAGATAAATAGATAATTGGTTAATGGATGACAACACTAATACCCACATCTAGTATTTGGCCTAAACAAAATTTTGACAGATACCAATCAATTAACAAATTGGAGATTTGAATAAGATCGACAATGTATTAAACTTAATGAAAATTTACATAATAGGAAAGAATAAAAAAAATCATTGCCTATATGCTGTGTAATGATTATCTGAATCAATTGTTTTTGCTATTAATACTGTATAGCTATTCTTTATAGCAAAATTAAATGTAGCGTTGAGATCAAGGGAGTATAAAAAACTAGTATATAAAATGCTTTCAAATCCATTATTTGATTTTTTTTATAAATTTTCTTATCAAAAATTGGATATTAAACAATTTACAATTCTTTAATAAGAATGCCTGTATGTGTTGCACAATAATGCTAAAAAATAAAATAAGTCAATGTATAGTGCGAATAATCTTTACGTGACCGTTTTAGCAAGAAAAAAAGTTTGCAATGCAATTAATTTGGATACAGCAAAGAAAAAATTCTGTCATTAAACTTATAAGTTTATAAGTCTGATGGCAGGTTTTCCCTTGGCGACATCTTATTTAGTTAATCTGTATGTGTATAAATGAACTCTTGTATGATCAAAAAATTTGTTTTGCAAATAAACTAATAAATGTCTATTAAAATACTAATGCCAAATTTTTGTTATTCATCTTTTTAAAATATACGAAATATATGTATTCTTTGAAATTTCTACTTCATATGGATCAAAATAACAATTGGCCATAAAACTATATGCACTTCTTGTTAGCTTTTTAGCACTCTTATCAGCAACTACGAGTCTCACCACCGGCTCAAAATAGACCACTATACCTACTAATAATACTATTTCTTATAGCAATAATATTTTTTCAAACCGTTTACTAATTTAAAAAAGCATTCTGTTAGAGATTTCACTCCTCTATCCGAAACTTTAGTTGAATTATAATCTGATACTTCAGATCCTCAATCTGATACATCAACTAATCCTCTATTTGATACCTCAAATGATCCTTGGTATAATATCTCCAATGATTCTCGATATGATATCTCAAATGATTCTTGGTATGATATCTCAAAATGATCCTCGATATGATACTCCGTATGATACCCCAAATGATCCTCCGTCTAATACCTCAAACGATCCTCCATCAGATACCTCAAATAATCCTCCATTCGATACCTCAAATGATACCTCAAATAATCCATCTGATGTCTCAAATGATCCTTCATTTAATCCTCAAATAATCTTCCGTCTGATACCTCAAATGATCATTTCATTTGATACTTCAAATGATCCTCCATCTGATATCTCAAACGATTCTCTGTCTGATACCTCAAATAATCTTTTGTCTGATAACTCTCCTCTTGGAACTTCGACTGATTCAGATACCCCAACTAATTCTTTATCTCACACCCCAACTGCTTTAACTAATTCTCATCCCACACCTCAACTACTTCAACCAATCCTTTATCCACCACCTCAACTATTTCTCTAAAAGATTTTATAGATCTTATAAATTTTTATTATAGTTCTTATTATTCTTATATGATGTCGGACGCATGCCACAATTGTTTATAACATATAAGGCACAGAAAATTTTGGGCGACAATTACTTATAAATTATGTAAAATTTTAAATAACGTGAACTTTGTTAGGTAGTAATATCATCAATAATGCAAGATTTTTTTAGATTTAATAATTTAAAATTACAAAAGATTATTAAAAAAAATGACAATTATGTATAATTTATCTTGTAAATGGACCAAGTTATATAAGTCATACGAATTCGCCCTTTGTGGGAAGCAAATCTTCCGGTTTACATAAAATAATAAATATTATTACTAAGAATATTTTAGAAATTCTTTTAATTTATGATTATTATTTAATTAAACTTTCGTTTTCTCAATCGGGCTTAGACATTTCACCAATTAAGTAAACCTGTGATATGTGATTCTTATCGAATAAAGTAAGCAGTTTGTGAGGTTAATAAGAGAAACTAAGGTATAGGCAAATAATAGTAGAGATTACTAGAGGTATGCATCTCGCACGAAATACTAATGTTATTTAATTGATTCTCACGCGAGATAATATAAATAATTTATTATGATATCATCATTTCATGCAAGATGCACATCTCTAGAGATTACTCATTGCATTTTCACCAAATCATACTTCTTGACTAGAAAAAACCTTGATTTCTGAAATTATTGGATATTCATTTAATATTACGCGAATAAGAACTTATAGATAATTTGTAGTGTATAATCACCCAGATCTTGATATAGTGATCAGAGAAATGGTTTATTACGACTCCACTTTCAATACAATAATTATCAATTAGTTTTACAACTATTTAATATATATATCTGCAGCTTTAACGGATATCCAGATAGAGATCCTGTTTTAATTCTCTTAATTCAGATTTGTAAACGGATATTATTAAATTATCTGGTTTTTAATTTTGGATTCTATCTGGTTATAATATATCATTATGGTAAATTTATAAATTATAGTAACAGGTAGCTAAAATTCAGTCACTCAATTCTTGTTGAAATATAATTGATTAAAAATTAGATTCATACCCTGAATTAGAATCTATCTGACTCAGAAGCAGGTTATCCAATTCTAGAATTCTTAAGCAGGTTGTCCCGGCTTATGAAATACCAGTAATAAGATTATTATACAGTATGGGACAGCAAGAAACATCCAATTTTTTAGCAGTTGTTTAATGTCTTATAACTTTTTAACAAATAATTATTTTAAAAATCCCTCTTACAGATT